TTGATGCAGAAACAGTGTCCAAGAATGAACCCTCTAAGAGTCTTGAGAAAAATAGCAGACCAGGTTTCACGGGTTAGTATCTAGTCACTTCCGATACAACCTTGACTGCGCACCTGTGTCGGCGGTCACCAGCCCAGGGGTTCCGTTGATTGCCCTCGTTTTCGGCCACCAAGAGACCGATCTCCCCGTCATAATCATTCTTTTTCCCTCTCTTTCAGTTGGAGAGAATTGCCAAACTTCTCGTTAAATTTTTTCCAATCATTTCCATTGTCAAACAGGTCAGAAACTGATCAATTATACCTTGAACGTGTTAAGTCTCTTAGCTCATTATAGATATAGTTTTCTTTAGTGATATAGTTCCTTCTTGTTAAATTTTGTCCTGTTTCGTTCGCCATTTTGATTGCGTGTTGCGTCTTAACCCTAAAAGAGCCGAGAGCTGAATCCATCCCCCTCGATATGTTTTTTCCAATATTACCGCAGTTCATTATTTTCAGGAGTTGAGCCTATCCGCCCCGAAGACATGTAAACCCATAGACGGGCAGCTCCTATTCAAAACAACGGCGAGGTACCATGGCCTCAAACGGCACCCGACTAAATCCAAAAGAGTAGGCATTGACGTGTGTCTAAAACACCTGAAAAACGTTTAGTTATTTCTCCTGATTTTTTAAGTTGTCATAGAAGCTTATTTACTGGTTTGCAACCTAAGGATGCAGTGAACTAATTCGAGTGAAAATTTCCGCTGAGCTAATTATCATTAAAGCACTTCACAGTTTCTTTTGAAAAAGGAGATTTTTTGGCAGAAAAAAAATAGAAGGATTGTGGAACGATGGGCCTGGGTTGGCAGCTTCCATTTAGTGCCAAAGTTGACAAAATTACGGATGAAAAAGGGTCCTCAGTGCCCCAGAAAGTAAAGGGAAGGTATTTGTAAAATACTGCGAGCAGACTTGGGAATTATTATTTTTAGAGGGATGAGTTTGTTTTGCGCGAATAATTAAAATATAATTTGCTAGACACCAAAAAAAAAAAAAAAGAAAAAAAGAAATGGAAAGACTAGGGTCAAGAAACTCCAGTAATGTCAGCTTGCATGTTATTGAACCCTAAACTTTTTTGGTTTTACATTGTTTTAAATGGAGCTTGCATTACTTCATAACACCCCCAAAACTAGAACTGTATAGCTTCCATTTAAAAACCCACCCTCTCTTTTGGTCCTTCACGGAGCGGATTGAAGGCGTTCTTTCAAATTTCGCACAGCGTGCTCTCATGTACCTAGTCCAGTTGAAGATTTTTTTTTTACATTTCATTGCTAGTCTGGTCTTCAAGCTTTCAGGAAGCTTCCTTTATTTACTTTAAGATCTTTGTTTTCCTTGAGAAAAATTATCACAGAGCCAGATTATAACCTTTATTGCGTGTTGTGTTAAAAACATCGGGAATAAGAACAAGAGAGGGGGTGGTTTTAAATAGCAACGAACGGAACCTCGACATTAACACTTGTATTGCAGTTAAAAAAAAAGATGAGGGATTCCACGAATAATTTCACACTGGTTTTCAGGGAAAATATGTTAAAGTATAATTTCTTGTAATTTGATATCTGATGATTCACAATGACTTCACGAAAGCACATCCAGCTCGAGATCGAGTTAGTACGAGATTTCATAGAAATGTCCCTCTGTTTGGAAGACATTGATTTTCATGACATGTATATTAATTGGACTTTTAGGTATTTAAAATGCATCTGAACTTTGACCCTTCATAACCCAAAAATAATAACCGAAGAACCCTGAATCCAGAGAAAACTGTTGTGCGATTCCAGATGTGCCTCTTTATCGATTCTATAAATAGAGGTGCGAAAGAACGATTGCGCCCACAAAGTCATGTGATCTATAGTGGGTATCTAACATCAACAAACATTGCTACGACTTCAGGTACAGCGGATTTAATATCCATCAATGCAGCCAGCAACTTCACCCGAAGTAACCGCAGGAGAGGTAGCGGGGAAACGATTGGGAAAGTTCCCTGAAGACCTGTAGCCTTTTTGTATTGAAAGTGCTGGCATTTCAGAAACGCTACTAGCACATTTCTCTTTGGAGGGCGGAGTGGGGGCGGGTAATGAGAATTCACAGCCGTTTCCAGAAACATTTTAACCCTTCATCCAAGGCGTGGATATACCGTCGAGTGGACGATAAGCAAGTAGAACAGGAGACGACCATCAAAGGCAACAGAGATATTGTAAAGAACGCAAATGAAATACTAGAATATGGGGAGCTGGGGAACTCAAAATACGAGAAAATAACCCAAACAAAAGAAAACATTTGTTTTGAATCCGAGAAATCATTTAAATGAACCTCCAGACAGAGCCCGCTTTCCTCCATTAAAACAAGAACATTTGAAATTACATGTGTGTAGCAGCATCATCAATGAGAGAGAGAGAGAGAGAGAGAGAGAGAGAGAGAGAGAGAGAGAGAGAGNAGAGAGAGAGAGAGAGAGAGAGAGAGAGAGAGAGAGAGAGAGAGAGAGAGAGAGAGAGAGACTATTCACAAAGATAATTAACAAATCTGCCTTTGTAACACAGTACAAAATTTGGGTACTTTTTTCAACACTCGAGTTGGGATAATATGTTCCACCCTCCCCTTCATGGACTACAAATTACAATGTATTTTTTTCAATGCGTGGAATTGTTTTCTAATAGACCATTCGTTTATTAGAATGCCCAAACACTTTGAAAATGGGTGACAAAAGCATTCCATGCCTTAAAAATTCTTCCCAAGTCTGATTCTTGGTGTAATAATGTCAGGTCAACTCATCGCCGTGCCATTTTGCCCCTGACCGACTCGCTCCTTACCAAATTACTATTGTTGTTAAACTGGTATGTGTAGTTTTCACCCAAGAGATCCATGAATTCCATTTACATTTCAATTTGCCTACATATTTTTATATGTATCAATCACAAAAGATATGAAGTTAAGAAAATAAAGCAAATCTAAATATGTTTTGTTTATCCGATTTAATAAAATTGGTAACGTAACGCGTGCATGAATATTAATAAACATTTGGATTGGAATTTAAACACGACAAATGAATACCAAACGTATAGAAACAATACACCTGTGACATGCCTATCAATTAAAGTTGGACAGAAATCAGTATACCGCTCGTGACTTTTTCAAGAGGGGAATCGGCTAGTAGCCGGCAGCGTAGCCCCGTTTACGTCTGTCCGAGTGAGCTTGAATAACTGGCCCTGGCCCGACGAGAATTCCCTGGGCCGCCGAGAAGGATGAGGTTAACTCCATGTTGTGGCCCATGGCTTTCAGTCCTTCAACTAGATCCTGTGAAAGATACAAGATGTAATTACATTATTTGTTATTTATATGTAATATTTCTTGGTTTTACAATACAAGCGATTCACAATAATGCGCCACCAAGAGCTTGCAACGCCTTGGCCAATCAGAACGCGCGAAATTTGTCGACCCTTTCCAAACGCGCAATGGGTCGACAAATTCCGCGCATTGTGATCGGTCAACGCGTTGCAAACTCTTGGTGGCGCACTATTGTGAAACAGCCATATTGCCTCCGTGATCATGCTCTATTGTGCATGTGATACCCGAATCTGAATATGACGCACCCAAAAATAATAAACATGAAAGATGAATATAAAGCAACACCAGTTCTATACTTTGCTTGGAAGGAGGAAGCTGATGTGCTCTCAGTGTTTGTTACCCAAACTGATTCTCACGCTCCACTTGTTCAAAAGATCAGCTGTTGGATGGCAGGTTAGGTAAGTTATCAAAGAAAATTATGATCAAATGACAGGTCATTTCTGTAATAGAATCCGTATAAGACTAGATAGCAACCTCTGGGAAGTTCTTTTCGTAGTAAGTCTTGTTGAGCGAGGAACTTCGGTAGGCATACACCCTGGGAGAATCGATTATCTCGGAAAGAGACTCGCTACCCCACAGTGAACGAAGAATCACCTGTTAAATGACAAGAATAAGGAAAGAGAATACGCAAGAATTTTCCAAATGTCTGTAATCTCGTCATTTGGACACGGTATTGAAATGGATTTCTTTACTCTTTAGAGTTTGCACTTGGATTCTGATAAAATTCAAGACCACAAATATGAAAAACTCTACTGATGGTTTTCTGCAAAACAGCCGTAGAGTTTTGCCGATGAAAGCGCTGTAGGCAATCCCATCTTACCCATGCATTAGTGGAGATGATCCTCATACCTCCTGATGATCCAAGGATTCCGAGGACTCCCTTTTGGTCAGTCACGATGGCAGGGCAAATGGTGGACATTGCATGGGCGCCTGGGGACAGCCTATTGGCCTCCCATGATGGTGACCGGCCGTTGTAATAGAAGTTGCCCATGTGGCCGTTGAGGAAGAGTCCGGTCTGGTTAGAAAAGGTTCTGCTACCGAAGCTGATGGCAGTTGAGTAAATACCAGTGTCACCACAATAACAACGAGAAGCCACCATAATGGTGGAAATGGCGTGTACATGACTGTACACGTCATATGAAGCGAGATTTGAGACGGAGAGGAACCCCCCGCTTTGTGTTGGTCATTGTTTTACTGCAATCTGTTTTTTTTCAGATATCTAGGGGACTTGTTAGGTAGCAATAGTTTATAGTGAGTATAGCGATTGGACATGTGCGGGGGGTAACCCTCGGTCTCATTCCTTGCTGGATATAGTACGTGTACAAGTACATGCAGGTGCCCCACAGAATGGCTACCATGACGTCATATTTGATAGGGTATAGGATAGTTTCTTTAGTCTAGTTCCCATGAAGCAAACGTTTATGTAGAACAAGTACTGATTGGACAAGGGCAACGTGAAGGTATGCAGCGGTTTAAGAACTGAATGATACTTCGGTGGGGCTCAACTGCCGTACAAGGATGGGTTCGACCATTAAGCAGCCAAGAGACTCTTTTTTCGCACCCTTACTTAACTTTGGTAGCCCACACACTGAAAACAAAATTCACACTTACTATCGTCCTACAGAAGTAGTCAGAGACACGGCGTCTCCTTGCTCAGAATACACGCTAAGGTGGCTGGTATCACCGTCCATGACGTCCTCACCGAACATACCATCCCAAGCCTCCACGTCAGCGGCTTGGTTTTGCCCCGAGGCGGCTCTTCTGACTCTGTCGGCCGGTGAAGCGGTCTCCGGCAGATCGTTGAACGTGTCGTAATCCCGGTCAGATTGGTAAGTGACGTAAGTGTCGTTGATCATGGAACAGATAGTCTGGGCGTACTCCTTAGACGACAAGGCGGCTACAGCCTTGTAGAAATGTAAGTTTTAAAAGGTAATCGAACAGAAACGTGATATATATTCTTACAACAAATTCAATGATGCCAAGTAAAAAATTAGACCGCGCCAATCGGTCAAAATGGCACTTGTTGGCCACATTACATAATGAAAATGACTACACTTGTCGAAATGGGACATTCTCCGAAATTCCCCAAAACTGGAACGCGCTCAGCTTTTACTTTGTACATGCCACTGTCAAACAACCGCCTCTGGTTTTGTGATCAGCTTTAGCCCTTTGTCATTAGAACCATCCCTGCTCTCGAAGCTCCCCTTTCCACACTTGGGCAGGGGGAACCAATCAGCGGCTGGGTGTTGTGCGCGGGGATACACTCTTTTAAGCCTCCTTTGGAAAAAATGTGTTGTAAAAGCCGCACCTTGTCATTTTCAGCTTTGCCGAAATCTCCAATGTGAAGTCGCAGACCGATGGCAAAGGTACTAGCCTCAATGAAATAGTGATACAACTTGAGTTTGCCCTCGTATGAGCTGAAGTTCACGGTGGCCAAGTTACACTCTGCAAGATCATAATATAACAACCACACCAAAACAAACTTATTCAACAATTCGAAAAAAAAGGAAGCTCCTCCTCTATAGATCCGACCCCATGTCTTCCACTCCAATGCTCGCTTGAACCCGCCCCAACGCCAATCACAAACTCCGCCGTCGTACACAGTCTTATAACTCATCAGCGATGAAGGTTGATGACACTCAGAAGCTCTAATCAGCCGGCATGTAGTATGAAATGTGTAAGAGTACGTTGCACCACTGGCAGAGAAACGATTTTCAAAGTGGGGGAGGGGGGGGGAGCAGTTTTGAGACCGTCACGTATGAGCCATCAGTAGGCCAATCCATCAAGCACCACCCCAGTATAGCACTTGCTAAAAGTGGGTGGGAGGCTTGCCACCAGTCGAACAAGTGGGGGGAGGAGCGCTGGCCCCCAATCCCCCGCTTCCGCCGCCAGTACATTGTTCGTGATTCGATTGCGTGAAGGGGATATATTTTGCACAGGGAATTTCACGAAATGTCACCAAGACCCTGCCCTGACAGGTTTGCGCAGATTGTAATAATTATTTAGACAACATTATTTTCCTGTCAGTGGTCGTCGTTTACCAAGACAGCACCTAACATTTAAAAAATCTACCCATGGCGAACATAAAATTTGCACTGTTTTACGTGTACTTTGGTCGAAAATTCTAACCCAAATCTAAGAAGCATTCAACATTTTCCCACACGGCTTTCACATAGATTACCACAGAGAGACTGAAAACGAACTTCATACTCGAGACAGAATACCCACATGCGTCAACGGAATTGACAGATCTAGGGCCAAAAATTGTTTTGCCGTGAAATTCACGGTCTGTGTTTTATTTTTTTCGGATCTGGAAAAGATAAATTGGACTGGATATCTGTTCGAGCATACCGTCCATAACGCTAATGGTAAATTGCAGAAGGTTGCCACTAGATGTGACGGGCGTGGACATCACACGGCGCTGACCCTCGCTGATGTTTAATACCACAGGTGGTTGTGAGGAAAGGCGGTAATTGAGCAAATCGTCCATTGTCATTACCCCACCTGTTGTTTCAAGAGACGCAAAGAGAAGCACTAAACACATCATTTCTATACCCGCGACTCCAAATTCATATATGCAGCAAGGTATGAGACGGAGAGAAACCTCCCTGCTTTGTGTTGGTCATTGTCTTGCAGGAATCTGGGGAATTCCTTTCAGACATCTTGGGGGGGGGATATGTTAAGTAACAATAGTCTGGAATGTGTATAGGGATTGGACATGTTGGGGGATACCCCTCGGTCTCATTTCTTGCAAGGTATACAAATTCAACTTCATAGCTTTACCACTACCTCTCTCTGTGTATTCCCACTGAATTAAAAATCCACTGCCGGACTTCTGTACAATGAAAAAGGTCGTTCACGGTCAAATATAAACTTCGGTCGCTTGAATGTTTGTTATGTGAATGTTTTTAACACTTTAAACAGCCAAAAAAGATTCGCCCTATCTTCTCCAAAATGTTATGTTTTTTTCACCTTGATCTTGGATGTCCTGGACAAGTTTCCGACCCACTTCTCCACCGTGAAGGGCCGACATCCCTTCTTCAGCGATGGCACGCAGCGTCTGCACCAGACTAGCTGGAGGCGTGAAGATATCACCCGTCTTCATCAAAGATCCGTTAGGCTTTGTGTACAGTTCCCTGTAGAAATAAAATAGATTTGCATTGCCAGTGGCACTGTCTTTAAAGGAAGGTAACACGTTCCCAGGAACGTTGCCCCAACCCCTGGCGGGAGCAGCACACGGCCTTTTGCCTCTTGACGTTTGTTTTGAATCGCTCCTTGATTATGTCGAAGAGCTGACTGACAGGGAAGCATTAACATTTGTAGAAATGTTTGGCAAAATCCACAGAGGGTTACATGATTATGCATGGAACCATCGGCTGGCTTAAACTAAGCTTGGCCTGAACAGGTGGACGGCAGGCCTGGCACTGATAGTCACTGCTCAATTCTTCTCGGTGAGGACTGAATCGGCTGGAGGCTATCCATGACACCTCACCGTCCTCAAGAAATAAAATAAATATAACGATAAATTTTCACATCAGCACAGTTCAAATCATCTACAGTAAGCTATTGCCGGAATTATTACTAGCACCACTCCTATGTAACCCAACCTTAGAATCGGCCAACGGTCGAAACTCTCCTCGAGAGTTTTCAGGCAGTACTCGGTGTGCCATGCGAGCGGGAAGCCGTCTTGGGCCATGTCAATGACCGGTCTAACGAGGTCTCTCCACGGCAGCACGCCGTACTTCTGATGCGCCGTCCACAATCCGGCCAGCTCACTTGGTACAGACACGGCTCTAGCTCCTGTCACAGTGGACAGTTAATTGTCGTTAATGAAAAAAGAGAACAGGTAAGATTGCGCTCGCATGCATTAACAGCGTTTAAGCTTAAATGACAAGCGCTTCCACTATACAATGTGACAAAAATGTGTCACAATATGACACAACAGAAACACCGCCTTTTGTTTTCATATTACAAGTTCATGTACATGTACTTGAAGATCTCCTTAACATGAATTATTTTCCACCAAGAGCTCATTGATGCCTAATGCACTGCAGTGAAAATTCAAGTAAAATTACCCTGTTTGGAGGATCATGAAGAATGAACTTGAATCTCAGAATTAACCGGAGCAGAAGGCTGGCAACCTCCTACAGTAAAGTGCCTGCGCTCTATTGCAGCAATTGCATTTTCGATAAGGGTGATTGTTTCAGAAAACAGACAACGAAAACAAGCATGTCACAGGGCTTAACTTTTTGGCAACTACGTAATAGTAATGGCGTTGGCGAACAACTTGATTATGTTAAAAACAAAGCAAAGATACCGTAATTGGCTTCATCCGTGTTATTGACGAACATGTCGAAGTGCGACGCTGCCGGTGCAGCTTCGTTAGCAGTGATGGTCTCTGCAGAGCCGTTCTTACTGTAGATGACCATGAACAGACCCCCACCGAGCCCCGAGCTCTGAGGACTGGCCACGCCCAGACAGAGGCTAGCTGTTATTGAGGCATCCACGGCTGAGCCGCCAGCAATGAGAATATTCCTGTTGAAAAAAGTCACTTGGATCTAAAATACGTGCCAAAACCAGGTCGTTTTCAAGAGGCATCTCCAAAAACTGAACAAAAATTGGTAGAAAAAGAAATGAAATTGAAGATCGACTTTGGTCACCAAACATGTTTTGAATTACGGTGTCCAGACGAGTTCAGTTAGATTACAGTATCCTCGTCTTCCCAAAAGAGTCTTGTCTTCGAATTTTCCTACCATTTTTAACTAATAAGCCTATAAACGTAAGGTTTGAATTTTTCAATTTCGTCCGTTGATTGAAGCCAAGAGAGGCCGCTTCTTTCACAATCTTAAAGCTAGGGAGTTTGTATCTCGATTATGTGGGGAAAGAGGTTGAATTGAAGCATTTAAAATCGATAAAAATGATTGGGCTTTCACAATACCTTTCGTATGTCACTTGACAGAAAAAGGATCCCCCATAAAGGGGGGGGGGGTTGGAAGGAAAGGGGGCAGCCGAATGTCTCCTCTCTGAATCCACTACTGATTTGCGACAAGATTCACTTCACACACCCCTCATGGTTCAGGAAATGCATGGCCGTGATATCGAATAACACTATACCTAAGCCCGGGCTCTCACGGTGAAATATTTAACCTTTATCCAAGCCTAACATAATGTCAATTTATAATTTCTACCTTGCCATTTCTGAACATGGACCGTAATCTGTAGCCACCGCTCCTCGTCGGTAGATCCCTGGGCTGTCCGTCGGTACAGGCGCTGTTCCATCCATTGGAGCTGTGTCATGACGTAGACCCAGTGTAAGACCCACTGCTAGGCCGACTGCAGCCAACAAGGCGATGATTATGAAAATGACGATCAAAATGGTACGCTTTCTATTGAAAAAAGGGAAAGTTTGACAAATTTTCATCTGTTAAAATTCTGCAGCTTACGAACTGAGTATTAAGACACGTAGTTATTTGAAACTGGACACAAAAACAGTAAACACCGACAACTGTCTGCGCTCCATTATTTGCTGGCTTCATCAACAACATAACAAGCATGTCATTGCTACCAAGCTCCCAAAGCTACTCCTTCATTGCCGAAAAGTACAGTTATAGGTATATACATGCAACGAGTTGACTTTAGCAAGAGACGATGGTAGTTGCAGGAGTTAATGCATATATAGAATCCATACGGGAATGATCAACACTCGGTGGATGCTTGATTTAGGTATAGCAATGTCGTAACATAAATGTTGTGCAGATCATGTTAAATTTAATGGGGTTATTATAAAAATGACAATCATTGAAAAACGTTTAAGCTCCAATGTCAAATGGTCAACATCGTTGAAAACACTGGATCTAAGATCTAAGAGCTATACCCTGATCCCTAAAATGATCGGGGTTACACCAGCTGGGTAAAGTTCCTAGTCTTCGTTTTGAGTGCCAAATTTATTGCTCTTATGTTCCGTGTAGAAATAATCCCTGTATTTAGTTCAATATCACTTGATGGAATTTTCTTCATTTACTCAAATTTCTGATAATAAAAACTTTGATTTAGTTGGAAACACTCAAAATGGTTTTAACAAGTGCTCCTCTTTTTTCCTGGATAAGTTTTGTCTGGCGGGCAGAGTCCAGTTTGTTCTCTAACTTTTCTCGCTCTGGTTATAGGAAGCTTAATTTTATTAAGTATTTTATTAAGTATTATTATTTCACCGCCAGCGAGATGACCAAAGGGTCGCATTCCAGCCATTCGAGCGCTCAGGAGCATGTACTCGTGTTAACACGAGTAACTCGCTCGAACGCAGCCCAAGAGTCTTGATTTTTTTATATTCTGTTGGCTGAAATACGGTCACGTGGGGTTTACTAACAAAGATAATGTGGTCGGAGGCTGGATAGCGAAATTAGCTCCCAGACGTATTCGGGAACTAGTTTGTCAACGAGGAATCAGCCTTGAGAAGAAACACCCTCTCATCACTTAAAAAGGGCCATATTGATCTATATTGGGTTTGCCAGTTGGCAAGTCGTCCACAGGATATTAGACGTGCAACGGCACTGCACTCGACTTCCAATGTAGAACAGCGTGTGTTTTAGTTTATGTGAAATGATATCGGATTAGAAAAAAAAGTTTCATAAGATCTCTAACTACCAGCAATTGGTAAAGATGGCAAGCTATGCACGAAGTTCGCCCAACGGCCATTTATAAGATTTGAAGCACTTGCAATTTGCAACCTGAACGCCTTACGTCGGCCCAAACGCCAGAACTTGATTTTGTAGGGCGACCCTGCAAAGTTCGTTACATGACTTGTGTGTACACAATGTGGTCATTCAACAAACAAAATCTATACCTTTGTCATCGAAGCACAGATAGCACGCCCAGTGTGCCAGCAAGCACAGTATGTGGTACAATTGAAATTTGATTATACCGGCTAAAGTGCAAAAGTAAACCAACAGTCCAGTGGCAGTTATTAAAACGCTGTTCTCTTGCAATACACCTAATGAAGGAGGGCGTTTCCTGCCGAATGACATATTGGCCAATATCCTGTCGCGTGACGAAGGACCACCAATAGAGTCATCCGCATGGCAGAAGGTACTATTTGCTCAAATTAATCTCTTTCGCCCACCGGCGGCCAAATTCATGGGGCACATCTTCCTTTCCCATTTTTCTGTCCACCAACCCCCCGTTTTCTCATGATCTGATTTATTCAATTTTACAGGAACAACTTCATATTCACAGTTTTAAATTGTGTGAAATTCTTGCTTGCTGACATTGTGAGCCCCGACTCTCCACAAAACAAATAACTCACAAAACGTTTTCCTAACCACGTCGTGCCCTTGATATTTCGGTGTGTGTTTGTCGGTTTTCCTGCTAGCGGCCGCGATTTCTTTTCAAATTCAAGGCTAAAGGTTGAGGGGGATCACACAACCAATAATACATGTACATGAACTGCCAAAGCGTTATGAACAAAATGTTCATACTTGATACACTTTTATCTACGTTGAGCAGGAAAACAATAAATATTCAACAACAAATAATGAACAGTGTACCGATAACATTATGAAGTCGTTTCATGTGTAAGTATTCTCTGATCTTCCAGTTCCCACCTTAGCAGGGATCCGGGGGGTCCCAACAGGGGCTATATCCCCCCCCGGAAACCCATGAGGTTTTTATCAATCAGAGTGAAGATATTAAGTGTCTGAAATCGGGGTTGTTTTGTTTGGATACCGTGCACGATATGGGGCCAATGGGTACCCCCCAACATGTCCAATCCCTATACACACTCTAGACTACTGTTACCTAACACATCCCCCCTAGAAGTCTGTAAAGAATTCCTGAGATTCCGATCAACACAAAGGCGGGGAGGGGTCCCTCCGCCCATATCTTGCATCATATGTTTGTTTCGACAGAGCCATTTTGTTCAGGAAATTGTCTCTGAACAGTTGCTTCATTGCGACTGGTGCTATCACTCCCTCAATTGCAAAAGTGCATCGGGGACGCTGCTTACTTGCCCTCCCCTGGGTCTGATCAAATGATGTCTTGCTTGCCTAGTGCACTTCCATAATGTATCTTATACACATAAGTTCATGCTGATTCGTGAATAGTTTTCTGGCTGCCTGACTACCAACAACTGCTGTGACACCGATCCGCAAATGTAAGGAGGGTTAATTACCAGACACCATTGCACATGACGTACTGCACTCAATGCATTTAATCACAAAGTGCTGAGTGCACATGACACTGCATGTATTTTCTTACATTAATTCAAGACTTTACATGCCTTCTGTATCAGACTACATATACATGTATTTTACATCTCATGGCTGTAAAATTCTGTTTACCCCAAACTGTGGTTTATACTTTGAGCTTGTGGCACAAACACCGGAACAGCAGGATTTGTATGGGCATCGTCAGGATATTTCCAGGGGCATGGCATGACCTAAAATGCATTTTTCATCTCTAAATGCTAATTCTGTTACAAAGTTTTTTACTTCAGTTTACCTGAAGACTACCACAAATAGATACGTAATGTTTTATGTGGGTATGTACACTGAGTCGCACTGATTGTCAAGTTTTTTTGTTTTTTCGGAATTTTGACACGATATTTCTCTGTCAGATCAGGCAATTTGTCACTTTATGCTGGTCAATATTTTACAAAGGCCTTTCTGAGATAATTTTAAATAAAGCAAAGGAAAGAAAAATAATAATTACAAATTCTAAAAACAGCTGTACACTATTGCTTGTATCCAAGGGTTCTGGAAGCAATCGACTTTCAGATTTTGTTGAAAAGAACTTTAGCGATTGTTCAGCAAATTCTTTCCCAGAATTCTCATCGCACCGAGTAACAACAGTTGTCGCACTATGTAACGATTCTCAGCGCGCTGCATAAACTTGGCGTTTAAAGAACACCATACGTTGGCCTTTGCACTCATTGTGTTGTGCGATGTAAAATGTATGTGATCATGTACCGAATGGCTTTCTGTAGTCTCAGTCTGCAAAGTGAAGAAATTGAAGAGATTAGCCATTTTTTTAAGGGGGGCTTATTTATTGAGAGGAACTGCTAAATCATGATTTTTTAAAGAAATGTAATTAAAAAATCTAGCTGCCGTCTTCGTTTGTGTGGCCTAGTTTCATATCTGTCAAATATTGACTGAAGGAGTTAGAATACGGAAATGGATCATTTCCAAATTCTGAAATAATTTCCACCCTATTTTGAAACTTGCGAAAATGAGTTGAGTTGTACAAGAATTGATTATAATCAACATTATGCCATAACTCTCAAATTGTGAACAATAGTTGTTCCGTATTTGTGTTTAGGTAGCCGTATTAACAAGATGACGTCACCCACACCTGTTTTCTTTTCTTCACCCAGCCAAATTAAAATTAATTATTGCATTCTGAGCACCATACAAAAACTGCTTTTACGTCAAATGAAAGGGCGTCATCCTGTGTGGCACACAAGAAACAGTCTGTTTTTTTACATTTGAAATTTGTTAGCCAGTAGAAAAAACTACATGCTAGACATGATCAAATTGTATTAAGTTCCAAAATAATGACGTCATCATCCGGAGAGTTATTGAAGGGACATTTTCGAGATGATTAGTTTCCTATTTGGCTAGACTTCAGAGATGGCATCTTGCACAATAATGAGATCAGCTACATTTTTCCGATGAAACACATCAAAATGCTGTGGCGTAACCAAACAAGAATTCGATATCGCCCGATCACCCAGCGTTTGAGCTAAATCAACCTCGTCTCATCAAGTTTTGAAACTAAAATTCCTAATGATTTGAGACCTGGGGACGCCACAATATCGTCGCAGTGCACATATACAGTCTACAGATCAGGGTTGATATTCGTGTCAAGTTTGAAGCTTATGCATTATACCGTCTGGGAGATAATCCGCGGAGAGTTATCATCCAGAAAAAAAAAACTAGAAGAGAAAGAGGGACCACAACAAACCAACGGGTAACCGGCGGGCGGTGGCCGATCATCTGGACGCAATGGAGAGTATCTTGAAGGTGGTTGACACAAGATAAACATTGTAAACAAACGGAAAACCCCCATAAGGCAGTGATCTTTCCGAGATGGAAGCTTCTCTCTCGGAAACCCTTCAGAGGGAAGTGGACAAATTAGAAAAAAGGTAAAGGGATGAAATGTGTCATGATTTTCCTGACTTCGGGATTCTTTCAAAAGGGTTTCCTGATTTCAGGACTTTCAAGCAATCTCCTTTAACAAAATGGGTATTTTAAAGGGTGCCGGCAGACAAACTCTAATATATACTTTCAAACCTTGGCTGCCGTGAGGCCCTCAAAACATGGTGATTCTCGGGCCATCGAGTGAACTTATAGGAACTTCAAAGGACCCTCGCGAAGAGGGAAACAGCCCACCAATGTTTGCATTGCAGCTATGACTGGCAAGGCAGCAAGCCAAATCGCACGCATCGTGGGCCTCCCGAGGTTCAGCTGTCATTATCTTGTTCAAGTAAACTCAACAGGTGCTACTCCATGTTAGCTAGCTCCATGATTCATTACAAATTCAAGGCCTCAAGGGTGGTGTAAATACATAACATACATAATACACCACCCGCTCCAGCCCGCACATCCAAGCCTACGGAACATAATTTACAAACCGGGATATCATGACCCGAGTAATCGGTTTAACAGACAGTAATCTCTTGTGGATTGAAGTTGAAAAAAGAACTCACTTACCTGGCCAAGCTCTCCATGTTTTTGCGTGTCACCTCTTTTACTGTTGCTGTGACGTGCGCTCAGGCGCTCATGAAGTCACAGCATTTATTGTGTGGGCTCGCTCGTCTGGATATTGGTAAAAAAAGTACGATAAACTTGCTAGGAGTAAATATTGGACTGAGAATGGATTATGATTGCTTAGTTGCTGCGCCCGTCAGTATGCTAAAGGAACTCTAATTAGCACCAACAAATTCAATTTATTGTACATTTTCAATAGGTCGATCGCGCTTTTTGTCACTATGGTCATTTATGCCCATGCGTGCATAATTACGAGTTTGTTTCGTGATAAGGTCCATACCTACCGTAAGCAACAAATACCATTTTTTTCCGCTGGACACAAAGGTTGGAATGATTAAGCTTTGACCAACTTAGCAAAGATACTACTGCAGTGTTGGAGGTAAGTGTACAGGTATACGAATCGCGCAGACCGATAAGCAAGAGATCGACATGTCTCTTATCTGAGAGTTAAGCATGTAGCAGGAGCCGTGAAACGGGCTACGGACTTCGGTTAACCACCGATGTCTCACCAAGGTCTGTGGGTGAATAAGCCGAACTATTGTCCTTGACTGGGTTTCGCGCAGTCCCTGGTGATAGCCATGCTTGGGCTATAGTTGAGCTCATAACCTAAAATCCAAATTTTGTCGCCCCATTTAAGGAAATTGCCTTAATCGAATCGAGTTCACAATCCCAGAAACCAGACGTGGGCATGCAGTAAACGCCAGCCTTGGAAATATGTGTACTCTGTCTGTGTTATTATATTCTGCCATTTTCATAGCAACTTCGAGCATAGAGAAGATCATATAAAAAGCAAGTTTATGAAAGAGTTCCTCTCACGTTGATTTGAATGACTTCCCAGTGGGATACTCAGGTCACAATACGCACTTCGCAAGTTCAGCCAGACACAGTGAGGGAGGAAATATCACGGTCAAACCCTACAAAGTAATTTTAAAAAAAATTGTAGTTGGCAACATTCTCAATGTCATGCAATTCGAAAACTCAGGAGACGGTATTGTAGATATTTAAAAAGGGCCACTTGTTGGATTTCGAGATCTGACACAACCCCGCGCCTGCGTATCTTGACGTAAGTCTTCAATCCTCCAACTTGTACGCGATGCTCTGCGCCTTTGCAGTATATGATGCCCATGATAGTGAAAACGGGGTATGCAGAACATCTTCGCACCTACTTTGTCGGATCACCAGACCTGTTGTTACAGTCACTGTCGCCGGTTTACTCTTGCTGTGGAATTTATAAGGTGCAACCACGTCTGGTCTCTCCAAGCAACAACGTCTGGCCACTCCAAGCTCAATTTGACAGTGCCCCAGCAACAAACAATTGTCTGAGTGTTCTGTGCTCCAAATGCCCATACGGTGCTCCAAACACCATCATACCCACTTGTTTATTTACCGTCGGAAATTTGTGCAGGCGTAGACTGATAACTGGTTAATACCTTGGAAGCACCACCATGAAGGTCAGAATAACGCTTGCAGCTGTACACATACCATGCACATACCAGTGGCGGGTTTAGAAGAGGGTGCCCCTCCCCTGCCTGCCCGACGACTACAGTGTGTTACGTCGTGACTAACGGCTTTGCACTGTACGCTCGCCTATGACCCTCCACGTTACGTTAGCGCAAGGCTTCTGAAAATCCTGGTCCGCCACTGCATCCCCCTTTCCACTTGGTCTAGTATTACCGCGAGCGATGGATATGCAGTGCATGTATTTGAAAGATTAAAACTGGCACGTATGTTTCAGCGGGACATTTAGTTTGTGCGCATGCGCATCTAAAGTGTTAAATGCCCGAACGAGAAAAGATGGCTGCCCACCTTTCGCGTTTTAAAGCACAGAATGAATAGGCTATTATCAGCTTTGCTTTAACTTTATTTTTTGTCATTTTGTGACTTTTATTTACTTTAAGCCCTTAAATTATCTTTGTGAAAGATTTGGTGTATGTCACACCCCTAGAGTTGTCCTACCCTTAGGGACAGACCTTTGGTAGCTGAGACACGAATATATACACACCTGTTGCTGGAAATTTGTTTTGCCTGTACAATATTTACATTTATTTATAAAAGAACATAAAATAAGGATTACTTCTTACATTAACATTGTTATTGATTACAATATAAATGAGGTGATGAGCGCCTCAATGTCCCGCCACCATGTTGCTTCTGTTTCTTACGTTGTAGTCGGCTTCTGTGGCCTGTGGCTGACTCGGCAAGTTTCTGCGTCCCGCCGCCGCGGTCCAACCCTTTTGTCAACACCGGTCAACCGACTCCCTCTTCCTCTCAACGTAAAACCAGGAACTGGGCGTTTCCTGGCTTTCCGTTTCTCAGAACAGTCTAAATGTACATGTAGTTTATTCTACTTGCATAATTAGAAGTCACTCATCTCAAGACTAACTCAACTCACGACTACAAGTCATCGAGGCTGGCCGCTGCCCTCTCCTCGGAATCCAGCAATGAACTGATCACATCACCCATATCTTTTCTTTTAAACCCGAAGGAAAAATTCCTGCACTGCCACGCCTTATTCCAAAGAACTCAAAATGTTTTGTGTACTATACCCTTCATAAATATTCATTATTCAAATTAATGCATAAGTGGCTACATCTACCGATGACAACTCAACTGGCACTCAGCCCATCATTCTGGTAAGGTTGACTGACTTCAGGAATGTTTGGGTGTGGCGGCTCAGGAAAATAAAATCTTGTTTCACTGCTAAATACCATGTTCATCTTTTCAACAATTAGGGCCAAAATTATACGGTATTATTAATTTAAAAGTAATTCCGATTTAACATCACTCTGTGACAGTGTGCAAAAATGAAGAATCAGTGCCTTATGTTGGGTTTGATCTGCATCGTGTACTTCCAAAGTGCTTCATACAAATGCAAAAAATGCTTGCTTTTTGAGGGGGAAATTTGACCCTTTCTCCAATTTTCCTAGGTCTGTCATGATAAAAATACGTTTCAGAAAGATATAAACAACATTTGGAGAGAATCTCACACGAACAAGAAGTACATTAAAAGAAAGAGGTGAGCTTTTATTCACCTGTTTTTACAGTCACAGACACCGTGTATGTACCATACGTCTGTGTACGTTAATGTAGCCTTCAAGTACATGTACATGTACTTGCACATACATGTATTCCTGTGTCAGCATGTACAAGTACGATACCTTTCCAGTCGCCTGTTAACTATTAGCTAGGCTTTACCAGCCTGCACAGCCTGCAGATCTACTCTGTGCTTTATGGGTTGCCAATGCCATGGTACTATCATTTATCAATGATACTATAAAGTATACGTGGTATAGGCAAACAAAAAATACGGGCAATTGTTCAAGGGGGCCTTCGTCAATGCAGTACATTGTTATGTCAAGATCCACAGTTGCACCAATAGCTCCATGGTTGCACAAGCGAAAAAAAATGTTGCATCCTGTCTCCACTTTTCTCATCATAAAGTCAGTCATTACAGAAATACTGGAAAGACATGAATTCTGGACTTTGAGAAACATTTACCCATGTTGTTGGGAATACGTACAAAATTCTCTTCACTCCCCATAGACTTTTTACACAACTGCTGAAGTGGAGTCAGGATGCAACGTTTTTTCCGTACAAGCTGCAGTTTTCTTTGTAACAACATTGGAGAGCAGGCTTGGATTTATGGCCATTTGAAGTGCTTCTGTTAATTTTATTTCTTGTGGTCACTTTCAACTCAAATTTGTGCAGTTGGAATGGTAGGCCTAGGCCTATGTGTACTTGTAAATCAGTTAAATTTGTCAGGGTTTTTCTGTATCCCGTGAGTTGTCATCACTGACTTCAAGATGGCTACCTCATCACTGATACCTCCAATGCTTTGCCTTATACTGTTGAATCTGGCATGAACAGATTCCCTGCCCTGTTCTCCATGGAAACCGAGGCCAACCTTTCAACGTGAAATGGATGGAATAACGTCCTTTTCCAAGAGATGCATTTTTGGAGTTACGCTTTCCTCGGGGAAGTTACACCAGAAGAATTATAAGTATTCTTGAATGTAGCCATCTGAGGAATTAAATAAAGGAAAAGGAATAAAAACGTTAGGGGTAGTACGGTACCAAATTAGGACCATAAGGTTTTTCTATGTTTTAACTGTAGGAACCAGCTTGTGGCCTCTTGTAGTTTGGTCTGAAATCTTCATCATGCAACAACTACATACACGGAAATAAGGCTGTGCTGAATATCTGAATACATGTAACCGAATGTTTGATCGATTTTCGAACATTATTATTCAACTTTGAATACTCGAATGCAAAATTCATTCAAGGGAGGAAAATGTTCTTTTGTTTTAAATGAAAAAATAGCACTATGGAGGTTTGTTTCAAGCAGATTCAAATAAAAAATGTCAGGAATCTTATCATCAATACAAAAAACAGAATATTTACCAAGTTCCTTGATCTCTGCTTCCTCCAGTTTCCTAGCCAGGTTGTACATGTTGTGACACTGGCCGAAAAGAACGAATAGGTGCTTATACTTGGTTGCCAGTTGCTGAGCAGTCCTAGTTACATGTGGGTCACTGCAAATCTCCTCGGCCCTTTTGACAATAAATGTAAGTTTCTTGATGTTTTTTTCCTGTGTTTAAAAAAAAGCAGTTGCTAATAAATGATACCTAAATGTGCCTGTTGGTTAAAATAGTAGTGTTTTTTCATGATCAGTTCTTAACATTATTGACCTACCTTACAACACTTATGTATGTGATTGCCAACGAATACTTGCCATGGTAGGCCTGGCGATGCACTTCAATCTCTTGTAGGGTCTTGTCTAGTTGAGCCGTCAATGGTCCTTGGCCAGAATTTAGATGGCACTTCTTTCGTAGTTCTGATGCTGCTGATTTCTTATGTTTACATAATATAAAAAAACTAAAGCGTGCAGGCAAAAATGTAAATAAAGTGCATACATGTTTTGGCATATAAAATTTTGTGTACCTTTTCTGCATATTTGGCCATGCTGTCTGCAACAGCATCAGACAGTAACTCGACCACTGGGGAATCCTCCTCATCATGGATAACCATTGCAGAGATCTGCTCCTAAAGAGAAGCTGCATTGTTCTTCCATGCCTCTGCTTCCTCCTAGAGTAACATGGCTGCCTGGATGTTCTCAGTGTGGGCAGTAAATGCTTTATTTGGCCAAAATTGATATGCTGCACCTGAAGCAATTTGCTGGACTGATCCAGATATCCAGACTATTACACGCTCTCTCTAAATTGTTGTAGTGCTTCGGGAACAAACCAAGACTGATGTGCAGTTCTGGTGGACAGACCTGATTGAAAGCAGAGACAGAGAAATGGGGTCCACATCACAGCTAAACTTAGGCATCTGTAGCTGTTAGGATAGACTGTAGATTTATAAGGGGAGTACATTTACAAATGAAATTTCTTAGGCATTTTTGCATCATGAAACAGGTCGAGGAGTCAGTGTACCTTGCACGCCCTCTGTTATGGCACTACGCAAGGAAACTGTTTCAAAAGAATGCCTACATAGATGAGAGGAACTGGAAGTAAGGGTGGTCGGATGATGTTGTTGAAATTCTTAGCTAGTTGTGCCTTGCCACCACATCCTTTAAACTCTGAGAGGTCATGGGCCATGCTTTCCAGGCTCCTGAGTTGGGCAGGGGGACGATGACCTCTTGACAGCTTCATCTCATCCCTTGTTGCATTGCAGTTATAGACAAGCATGTCTGCCTAATAAGTAAAAAAGCACATGTTTACCGAGTTTTTTATAAATACCTTCAATTTTGAAAATTGATGGTTTGCATGGTTTCCACAGAGAACATTTCACCAGCAGCTGATAAAGCTTCCCATGTGACATAATACAGAATTAAATACAGAATTATATAAATAAAAGTAAAGCATCAAATGTATAGGACTTACTGTTAGTCTGGTATTGACTCAAGTCCAGATACCTTTTATGATTAGAAGCTACCAATCATTTCAAAATCTGGACTCAGATCAGATTCATTAAATTGGACTTGGACTTAAACTTGATGCAGACAAAGAGGGTTCATGTGTGGCTTGAATTGGAGGCTTCAGTGACTCAGTTCCACATAGATTTGGATGAAGTGGACTCAAATACTGTACATTCCTAGTGTTCACGTACCTGTTGCTCCTGTGATGCCATACATCTTGCATAAGTATTGGTAATCACCAAAGAGGAACACTTCCAAGTTGAAATGTCTGCCAGTAGTGCAAAACAATGTACATGTATGTACTGCAGTAATGATTGAACTTAACTTCAAGTTTTGTCCTTACATCATCGTATATTCATAAACACTCTATACTTGGCACTTGTCTGAGAACTTATGAAAAGATTCCCATGCTTACTCGGGTGGGACTTGAACCCATGACCTCCTGCTTACTAGTGCAGAGGTTTGAACCATTCAAACACCTAGTGTGCTTTCTTCTTTTAATTTTCTTTGCTGAATATTTGGGGTGTTACAAATATGCCATTTTGTATGGGAATTGTACTTTCCTCAAAAGTCTCGAAATCCATGACACACTTAAAACTTAAATTTGAAGTTTTTTTATACTTATTATTTTACTGCTGCTTATATTTACAACAAAGTATTGAACCATTTCCAGTTGTGTCCCCCCCAGCAATGGCTTTGATACCCATTACCAAGCTGAAACTGCTCTCTATGCCCACTGCTGCCATAGGGATCTTATGTTTAAAGTTAAAATAGTTGATC